CCGGGGGCCGTGGGGCAGGCGGAGGCCCAGCGGCAAGCAGGCACTGGCGGCAGGTATGGCCTGGGCCCCCCCCGCCGGCTCTCCACAGCACGCACAGAGGTGATGGGACAGCTTTATTTCTCTCACAGCTTTACAGGACTGGGTTCCCCTTTGGCCCTGCTGGGGACACCGACACCACTTGCACAGACATGGGCTGGCGACAGAGGTGAGCTGAACACTCGCTGTGCCAGCCCCTCTCACCACAGCAGATGGATTACCTCTCCCACGGGCTGTAGGGAGAAATCCGTGTTCCTTCTGTCCAGTAAACTCAAGCCCAAATGCAACTCTAGATGTAACCGAGGTGCCAAAAATAGGAAACATAATTTGCAGGGTATTTCGCAAATCTATAGTAGTAAAACAAGCACAAATACTACCTGCACAGAGCAAAGACAAGAAGGTGAGTCTCCCCTTCTGTTGAAGCACACACATGTAACACTGGTACAGCTCTGTTCCCAGCACGGGCTTTTGGCAGTGGTTTCTGCTTAAGCATCTGAGGGTCATGCTTGGTGAGTTATTTGCCATGTGAACTAGGTTTGGAAGAAACTGGCACAGGAAAGTGCTATGTCTGCTATTACCCGTCCCCCTCCTCTGGGAATCACAGAGATTCCCTTTTGCTTCATCAGTCCCCCTTGGGTTGACCCTCTATAGAACCTGTCAGCTATGGGAAATGGATGCTCTTGGTGTTCATCTGCTGCCATGTGGTCTAACAGCTCTCCTCCGAGGGCTTCTTGGTACCTTGAAGGATCAGTGCTGAAGCAGACGCCCTCTTCTGATGCCTCCACTTGGCCCGCCGGTTTTTAAACCAAACCTAGAAAGCGGAAAACAAGAACTTCTACATTTCATGTGTCACTTGCAGGGGGGGCAGATAGTTACACTCGTGGACTACAGCGTAAGCTTTAGGATACCATAATACATTTCCCGATATAAAAGTTTGATACAAGATTTAACCAGTCGTTCCCGTACAATCCTGCTCAGATGCATGTAAGGGGCACAAGGGAGCTGGGACTTCCCCATGGCAAATTCAGAAGTCACACAAATCACATAAATAAGGAATATACATTTGGGTGCAGGGGATGAGCAGAATGGGGCATGTCTGTGTGTTTATATAGGTGACTCTAGGGAAGAGGGAGTGTGTGAGTTTATGGGAATGGATACCAGAATCAATCAGCCCAGCAGAACGGGTTTATGTTGTTCCGTTGCTTGCCAAACTTAAACCGCATTTTGTCTCATACCCAAGAATGTTTTTTAAAATGAGGCCCTGGGTTTGCAGCTCCTGAAAAAGATAGCACAATGCCCTAGTCTCTGTTCTTGGGGGGTTGCAGCAAACAGCACCTTACCAACTGGCAGGATCTCACCTCTACCCTCTCCTCCTTCAAGTGAATGCGGTTTGCCAGGTGCTCGCGGGTGATGACATCCGGGTACTGGTTCTGATGGAAAAGTGTCTCCAGGGCTTGCAGCTGGTCCTCGGTGAATATGGTGCGATGCCGGCGTGTCCGGCGCTGGATCTGGTGGAAAGTCTGCAGCTCACTTGGGTTCCCCTGGGGACTCTTACAGACCCTGACTGCTGAGTGGAAGAGCCGCATGGGCCAGGGGAACCGTGTGTCTGGAAGGGGAGAGGTACAGTAGCAGTGTTAGGTGTGAGACTGAAACACGCATCTTGCTCAGAGCAGTTCAGGCACAAGCTGCATCCATGCCCGTTTTTTGGAAGGAGGCAGCTGGCCAGCTGGTCTGGGTGACGAGCTATGTGATCACCATGCAGGTCTTCCTTGTATACTTACCAGTTGCACTATGGCCAGCTCCAGAAAATAGCTGGAAACTCACAGCCCTGTGAAGAGCTGTGTTTTAGTCCTGACATGGGGGATTTCTGAACTTTCAGGATGCTCTTGAACTGCATTTTAAAGGGTTTGCCACTTTTTTTTTTTCCCTCTCCCCCAGATGCAGCAATTTTGCTGGATGTAGCCAAAAACTTTTCTTTAAAGGACCTGTGAGGTTCCCCAGGGCCTGTGTTGTCAGGAAGCACAAGCACAGCTCTACACATGGGCAGCATAACCATGGGGCCCCACACTCCACAGAGAACTTCCACTCCTAGAAGCATCATCCTCTCAAGCATTTTACACTAAACAAGTAACATCCAGTAATAAATAGCACCTGCTGCTTTTAAAACCCCAGTAGCACTGCAGGTAAAAGTGCTCGCTCTTGGGAGCCATGCTGAGAGCAGAGCTTAGCTCACCGGAGCTGGGGTCTGAGACCACCACGGTGGCAGGCCAGATGCTATATTGTCACTCAAACGCCCAGGTTTTCCCCTCTGCCCAGCTCTGGCACCAGCCTCTCCATGAGCCCTACACCATGAATCAAACCCAAACACTCACCCAGCCAACTCGATGAGTCCTGCAGGGAACGGGTGCTCGTGTGAGAACAGCAGCAGCAGTTGCAGCCTGCCCCTTCCAGCTCTTCCTCCTCCTCCTCCTCCTCCTCCTCCTGCAGGGAGCTGGCCGGGATGGTCTCCAGCTCACACAGCCCCTTGGGTGTGCAGTCCAAGATGCTCCGGAGGCACAGTGGGACCAGGACCTGTGGGCTCTTCTCTGCTGGGCTGGAGAGGATGTCCTCGATGCTGAATGAACACGGCTTCTTGAGGCCTCTCCTGCCAGCGCTGGCATCCAGTGCTGGTTCCGAAGACATCCTCTGCCAGCAGCAGCAGCCACGGGAATGGGCAGCCCAGGCTGAGTGGGGTTTGCTCTCCTTGCACTAACTCCAGAGTGGGGTCTCGCAAGGAAAAAGACAGCTTACATAGCTTTTAAAATGGGTGGGTGAAGCCGTCCAGAATTGCTGCTTTGTCTTGGCATTTCAAGTGACTGTCATTCTCACAGCTGAGTTTTTATTTTATAAGCACACGCACTTTTTCTCCTCTAACCTGCCTGCTTTATGACTGAAGCCACCCTAAATATATATATATAGAGATATATAATCCCTTTGGAAAGAAAACCATAAACCCCCCTGTGAATAAAATAAATTCTAACTAATCTTGGCAGCTTTGTGAAGGGTTAGTGTGGATCTAAGATTTAGCTAATCCCACAGAAATGACTGGAGAAGGAAATCTGATTTCTCCATCTCGGGTGTAGATTTGAGGTGGTTATGATCTCCATTGTGCTGCAGCCTCCGATCCAAGGAAGGGGGAGGATAGCTGTTCCCAGCCCGGAAATGGACCAGAGGATTAACTCCTTAAAAGAAGCAAATTATCCCTTTCTCTGGCCAAATGAAAGCTTTCCCATCAAAAGAGAGCTGTCATATCATACAATATGAGAGAGGAGGGAGTTCAGCTTAATAAAAAATCATTTTTAATGATAGTGCAGCCTTTGACTGTACCAGAACTCTCTGCAAAAGTTGATTTATTTTCTGCTGAAAGAGAAATTGTATTTTCCCTCCTTCCCCTTTCCCCTACCTCCACTGCCCTAATCACAGTGATAATGCTGATGCTTTGCATGTATCCAACGTATTATTTGTAAGAATTCAAAGCCCTTAATAAATTGGATTACTGGCAGCTCACAGCAGCTCTGTGGCATAGTTTAGTGGCATGTGGCTACCTCCTGTAGAGCCAAGTCGTACCCCTGCTCGGCGTTGGGACGGGAAGAGGAGGATTGCTGCCTGCTCTCTCTGTGTGCAGGCAGGCAGGCAGCAAGGTCCTGCAGCAGCTCGGATGGGCGGTTCAGTGAGCCCACAGCTTCCTCATAGCTCTGTCAGTTCAATGCCCAACTTCTTCTGTCCGGCAAGAGAAACTGGGGTAAGGCTACAGCCAAGAGTGGTGACGCAGGGTGGGAGGGGATGCCTGGCACCAACCCTCCTGAGGGCAAACAGCAAGGCCTGGCAGATGAGACCCACAGGAGAGAGGACATCTTCCATCTTGGGTTTATAAATGAAATGAGTAGCTGGGATTAAAATAGAGAAGGTGTGGTTGAGCTCAGATTGTTTAGGAAAGTTTAAACCCAAGTTCTCTTGCCCTCAGTGCAGTTTAAGCCAAGGAGAGTAGCAAGTCTTCAGGACCTCACGTGGGGAACACCCTCCCACTTGGTGTTTCTTTACAGGGGAGAGAAGATACCAGTTCCAGTCGTGAGGAGGAGACACACAGGTGAGTGCTGTTAAACCACCGCACATCAAAGGTCCTTGTGGCACCTTGTGGCTTCACACTGAACAGCCCAGGAACTCCTCCAGCATCATGCAAAAATGAGAGCCAGTCTCCAGGAGAGCCCCCTCTCAGCCACCATTCTTTTCTCCTTGGCCCTGCTTTCTGCCTGCTCTTCCCCACCCTGCTGATCTCCTCGTGCCAGGAAGAGATGCCCCATAGCCACTTTACCTGTGACCCTCAAATCTGTAAAATCTCACTTAAAACCAAACAACTATTTTTCCTTCCATCCCTTTGTTTGTCACTCCTTCAGCTATTCCAATGGCATAGCATAAATCATAACTGTGCTTTACATACTTGCCATAGGTTTGAGAGGGTCAGGCCTTTGTAGCTGTCTGGTCTGGACATGTTTGCTGCTCTCCTGCCAAGGTGCCAGAGCTCCAGAGAGGCACTGGGGATGCACTAACACCAGGGGTCATCGCAAACTGCTCCCGGTTTTTGTGCACGTACCCAAACACTGTCATGGGAGATGGATGTAGGGCCAGGTTCTGCTCCCCACACTGTGCTGGTCCAGAGGGACCACAGGGCAGGTGAGCAGGGAGGTGCCATGGGCAAGCACAGGATCCAACCCTTTCTGCTCTCAGCTGTAATAATCATATGCCCGAAGCAGATTAATTCTCTTTCCCCATCCTTAACAAAGGAGGCTTTTCCCTGGCCTCCCCTGCCTGTCCCTGACTTCTCACCACACATACACTTAGCCTATTAGGATCTCTGATGATTGCTTTCTTTCATTCCTCCCATACCTTTCACTTCAGAAAATGGACTGGTAATACTTCTTTTATCAAAGAATTATGGGATTTAGGACCCAGATCTTACAAAGAGACTTTTGATAGCTGCTGGTAATCAAATCCCAATCGGCAGACACTTCTCTGCACCCTGTTACCGGAGAGGAATAAAGGAAAGGGATTATTGATGTTCTGTTTACCGAGCCTCCAGAAGATAGGATCTCTGGGCTATTTCATATTAGAAAAGGAAAGGAAAATAAAACAAGAAAGAAAAAAATGCAGACAAGGGAGGACAATATAGATATAGATAAAAAGAAAAGAAACAGGCTCTTATCATTTTCTTATTGGTTAAGGAGATTCCAAAGCCATTATAGAGGATTAGCAAAAAGGTTAATCTGCTTTAGCCATTCACTTGTCAAAAGTGAATTTATAGGGTTTGAAAATCCTTCCTATGGTGAAACCAGAAAAATCCCCCTCACCCTCCTCTGCCCCTCCCTTCTGCAGTCAGCACAAGGGGATGGGAATGGGAGCTCTGGAGACCCTAAAACACAGGAGCACCCTCCTCTACCTTGCCCCTGCCTGGGTGCTGGCACCTGTGAGACCTCTGGTTTGGCAGCGCTTCCCCCACTCCCTCATTGCCCATGTGGGGTGGCCATGGTGCTCAGGGAACAGAGGAGCAGGCCCGAGGGACATGACTGTCCTCCTGTACTGCTCTGCCTTGCCTGGGGTAAATCCTGGGCTGCTTCACTGGTTGATATTGGCAGCAGTCTGGGCAAACCTGGACCCCTGGGTGTATTTGGGCTTCTAGGTTGATTTTTAAAGTGAAACAGAGACAGATGCTGCTGCTGGCAAATGTTCAAATGTTGCCAAAAACTACAGGCCAGGGTCCCTCTGTCCACAAGCACAGCACTCACCCAGGGAGCCACATCTCAGCATACTCCTGGTCACCCAGCACAGATGCTGGCCTGTCCCAGCTCTCCTGTGCTGCCCAGGCTGTCACCCAAGAGGCTGATGCCCACTGCTTGCCCCAGTGCCACTGTGAGAAACAACCCAAGGAAAAAACAATCCTTCAAGGTCAAAACCAGCAAGAAGCACTTTCTCAGTAGGTGCTGGGTGAAGTTCAGTAGGATGTGTTAGTCAGGAGTTATAATTGTGTTTAATAAAGACACAGAAATCACAGAATTATTTGGGTTGAAAGGGACCTTTAAAGGTCATCTTAAAATCATGCCTGTTAAAATAGTTCAACCCTGTTCCAACTGACAAAAAGAACCCAAATAAAATATTTTGGATTTGATGATAATTAACATCAAGTGTTATGATAAATCTGTTTCTCTTCCCAAAGGCCATTCCATCCCACAGGAAGAAGCAGAGTCCCTCCACTGGCTAATCGTGTTAATAGGGATGCTGGCTAACAGGGATGCTGGGCTAACAGGGATGCTGGGTTAACAGGGATGCTGGGCTAACAGAGATGCTGGTTAACAGGAATGTTGGGCTAACAGAGATGCTGGCTAACAGAGATGGTGCCATGGTGTAGCAGGACGACTCGGGGGGGGAACCTCCTCTAATTCAACGAGGCACGGTGGAGTGAGACTACTGTTTCACCCTGAAGACTTCATTTGATATTTCCGACCTCTTAACAGGCACCACCTCACGCCGTCCGGCCGCCCGCACCAGTCCCCCGCCTTCAGCCCCTCCGGGGCTCTCGCTCGCACTTGCAGAAGTTGTTTTTTAATGCCCGACTCCGCAGCCTTGGCCACCACCGGCGCTGTCTCTTATACACAT